AAGGCTTTAATGCCTGCATCACTGGTTTTAATTTGTTTCAGGTCAGTAGCGGTAGGAAGTCATTAACATATGATAGCTATTCCTTTTCCTGTGAGTTTACTGTCTCAGCCTTTGTCCTAATAAACTGATATCCACATTACAAAAATCGCCAGCCTAATTGGCACCTTTGTGACAGCAACAGTACTCAAACCACTAGATATGTAGGCAATCCACCTCGGTATGTGCTGCTTTTGTACCAACCCTGCTGAAAAGAATATGAATAGCAGGTGCTTTGTGGATTTCAACCTTGAACTACATCCCTCCCCACCCACAATCTGAGGAGCATTGGGTAGGTTGGAATGGCAGGAGAAATCCTTCTGAAACACTGGTTGGGTATTTATCTCAGGGTTCAGCAAATTAATGGAGCACTTTCAACAAAAATTAAACTTGTGCAAGGCAGAAAGGAGCACTTCAAAACACTTTACAAAATGCAAATGGTTCCTTATTGTCCAGCTCTTTGTGCAATTAAGTTAGGCAATTAAATTATTCATCAGGGCAACGTGGGGTCACTCTTTTTTCCTTCTTCATTTTGCGGGTGTGCTTCTGGCACAATGGATGACAGCGGAGTTAGCTCTCAACAGATCTGTTTGGTAATGGCTTGTTCCAACTCTTTCTGTTGCAAAACGCTGTTCAAGATAACACCCAAGAATATAGTACTGAAGCAGGAACAAGAAACAAAGAGTCCAGATTCTAAAGAGACAAAAGACTAGGAGGAAGAAAGTGTATGGTAGGATAATTTCTGATTTTCAGACATTAAACAAAAGCAGCTTCTCCAGTCCTAAGCATACTTATTCAGAAGTCCCATTGATTCCAAGCATGCATGCTTAGGATTGTGGCAAATTCTCAGTAGATCCAACTCTCAGAAATTCTCAGAAGGGGTTCTGAGCACTGCATTGTGAGCATGGAAAACACAATGCCATTGGGCAGAGTTTGTTGAGAATGTTTCTTATTGCAATCCCCAGGGAAGGTTCACAAAAGCATTACTCCGCTATGTTCATTTGAGCGGGGGCAAGTGCTGGAGAACTGCCTAATGGATTTCCTTTGGGAAGGAGCTAGAGGGGAAACCAACCTGTCATGAAAAGGTGTCTGGGAGTAAGGTGCAAGGCATTCTCGCCTACATTCCCACATGAAATCAGTACCAGGAAGAAAAGTGTTACAGGGCAAATGTACGAAGGGGATAAGTAGACTACCTAGAACCAACACATACCTCACCGTCTCTTGCTGTCTGTTGCCATGACAGTTGCAGTTGTCAGCCCAGATACTGAAGAAGCTAACTGTTCACTGTTTAATGAAGAGAAGTATTCCTAGTAATTTTCCTTCGAAGGACATTAATCCCGGGGTCCAAACTCTGGCTAGATTCAGCAGCGCTTGTGTTTGCTGGCAAATGGAGCACTGAAAAACATTGTTCCATTCAGTTGACTTGGAAGAATCTCTTCATGTATATGACAGCTAGTTTCTCTATATATAACTCCCCAATGGCTTCCACCACTGGATCAGTAGTAGCATGAATACTTTGGGAAGTGGAACTTTTAAGAGTATATGACATACACTTTAACTGACGGCTACAATGTGCACTCACCAGTCTTAGAAACAGAACTTGGTAGCCTGAATAAAAATGAGTGGAATAAACCAACTAAACACTAATCCTATGGACATTTATTTGGAAACTAATCTCCTTGAGATCAAGAATGATTTGCTTCTGAGGAAGTGTCCACAGGATGCTCAATATAGGTAAGGAAAGGTCTGGTGCTGAGAACCACAAGGGTTGTGTCTGCACCAATGTTAACTCTTACATTGCATGAGTACTGACATATAGTAACCCCCGGACCGGTGTTGAAATGAAATGAATGAGTACTGGCATACAGTAACCCCCAGACTGGTGTTGGAACAGCACAACTATCTGCACTGCTGCAAAAGTGCACTGTATTCAGGCATTGTGCACTTCCCCAGTTAGGTACAACCAAGCTTCCAGCCTCCTCGCTTCTTCTCTTTTCTTAGCCTAGGAAAAACACTGCTGCAGGCCTGTGTTAAGAGCCCTGCAGGGCAGCTGTACAGATTCCTGAAAACAAACCAGCTACCACGTGGAGCTTGAACTCAGTGGCCAAGTTTCAACAGTTGAGGAAGAGACAATACAAAGATGTCCTAGGCCACAGGGTTCAATCTTTCCTACCTGAAGAAGGACTATTTTTTCTCAATCAGGGGTGCCAATCGAGCACACAATGTGGTACATGCATACCATTTGAATGGCAGTGCCTATTAACTTGGGGGGGGGCGCTCAAATGTTTTATTGGGGAAACCGAAGAGACCTTGCCTCCTAGGAGTTGACTTATGCTTTCAATGTGCTAACAACAGTATCCAGTAATACTTCGCCTCTTTTAGAATTATCTCCCGTGACTGCGTTATGCTAAACTAATAAACAAATTCAGCTGTTAAGGGGGGAGAAACTGCTGAGATGATAGATTTCTGCATTGAAAAGCCCTTTGTTGATGTATCGTTATTTAGAAGTGGGGGGGGGGAGAGAGATAATTATCCTGCTGTTGGAATCTGTTCTACTAGTTGAGGCTAAGCCTGTTTAACAAGCAGTAAACATGGTGGAGGATGGGCCAGCGAAGGAGAGAAGCACCCTAGAGCATTCTGTGGGCTGGTTCTGGTCTGTTGGCATTTACACAGAGCATGTTTTACCTTAGGAAGGGGGAAAGGTGGCCTTTGGTGAGGCAAGCAGAGCCTAACGGGTTTTAAATTAAATTAACAACAACAACAACAGACCCCGCAGGTGAAAACAAACTGGTCCCTTTAGGAAAAGAAACGTAAAAACCAAGGAAATCTGTTATGATTTACTGCAGTGTAAAACGAAGGGTGTTTGTTTGTGTTTTGTTTGCACAGCAACTTCACTGAATTTTCAGATATACAGCAGATACTCTTCTTGGGCACAAATGAGGTAACGCTCCTCTTTCCTCCAGGTAGCGAAGCCATTTCTAAAATAAATATGCTTCTCTCTTCATTGCACTTTTAATAATTGGATTACCATCAGCAAGAGGCTTGGTGGGTAAGAAATACATGTAGAAAGCTAGGATCAAATAGACTTAGCAAGCATCTCAGAGTCAGTACTAGGAAGTCTCCAGCTCAGTTAGTCTTCTTGATTCTGAATTGCTGTCAATCTCAAAGGTGTTAATGTATTAAAAGGGAGGGAGAGGCAGAGCAGGCAGTTTTGGTCTCTTTCTTCTTTGAGAACCTAGTTGTTTTCAGAGGGCAACCATTTCATGCAAAAGGATACATTTCTGGCTGCTGTAGTAAGTGCCAAATTCTCCTTGACCTCAATGTTATAAATATGAATGATTAATAATAATGATTTTATAATATGAATCCCCAATTGGAATAGGAAAAACTTAGCCATCTTTCTCTTTGTTTGCCCTTCCACAAAATTTACTGCTGCTGGGGCACATTTCTTGAAATTTATCAGTGAAAAAGAAATTGCTAGATTAACGATATCGTCTAGATAGAAAGCTGTCTATCATCATCATTATTTTATAAATTTATATGCCACCCAATACCTGCAGGTCTCAGGGCGGAGGTTCCATTCAATGAAAGGTGAATCCTAACCCACATTTATATCTCTGACACAGTGATGTGCATATTTACAGTGGTACAACAGTGGCTTCAAGCACTGCTGCCATTAAGAATGTAACAATAGTTTCACTGGATCAGGCTAGTGGCCCATCTAGTCCAGCATCCTGTTGACAGGCAGATGCCTTTGGGAAGCCCACAGGCAGGACCTGAACAGAACAGCACTTTCCGCTCCTGCAGTTTCCAGCAACAGGTATTCAGAAGCATACTACAGTGGTACCTCGGGTTAAGTACTTAATTTGTTCCGAAGGTCTGTTCTTAACCTGAAACTGTTCTTAACCTGAAGCACCACTTCAGCTAATGGGGCCTCCCGCTGCTCGATTTCTGTTCTCATCCTGAAGCAAAGTTCTTAACCCGAGGTAATATTTCTGGGCTAGCGGAGTCTGTAACCTGAAGCGTATGTAAGCTGAAGTGTATGTAACCTGAGGTACCACTGTATATCCGACCATGGAGGCAGAGTTGAGCCAGTTAGTCTCAACCTCTATGAATTTGTCTAAAGCCATCCAAGTTGGTGGCCATCCCTGACTGCTGCGGGAGTGAATTCCATAGTTTAGCTATGCTTTGTGTGAAGAACTGCTCTCTCTTCTTTGTCTGTCCTGGTACATTACTCATCTATTCTAAGCAACCGTACAACTTGCCGCTAGTGGTGCCTGGTAAGGTGGAAGGCAGGGAGGTGAACAGTAGGTGGCGCCAGAACCAATGACAGGCAGAGCCAACTAATTACGGTGGTACCTCTGGTTGTGAACAGGATCTGTTTGGGAGCCCTGTTTGCAACATTAGCAGAACGCAACCCGCGTCTGCGGGTCACGATTCGCCGCTTCTGCGCATGCATGTGACGTCATTTTGAGCATCTGCACATGCGCGAGCGGTGAAACCCGGAAGCAACCCTTTCGGGTACTTCCGGGTCGCTGCAGGACGCAACCTGAAAAGATTTAACCTGAAGCAAACGTAACAAGAGGTATGACTGTATTGTGTTGTCATCATCATCTCCCTACAAAGTCAAAACTGAGACTAAGGAGGAGAAAGCTGCTCCCAGGATTGGTAGCTGTAAGAAAGAAGGCAGGTGGGGATTAGCAGAGGGCAGACTGAGTGCACTAGTCTCTGCTACTGCTACTTCCTGGACAACCAACCCTTACTATCAGAAAAGCCTGGCACAATGTTGCACAGGATAAGCTTACATACATCTGCCAGGGGTGGAATGCCCTTAGGAAACTGACGGAGAGGACCTGCCTCTTCCCGATCCCTGGAAGTGTTGTACATATAGAATCATATTGTAGAGTTGGAAGGGACCCTGAGGATCATCTAGTCCAACCCTCTGCAATGCAGTGATATGCAAGTGTCCCACACAGGAATTGAACCTGCAACTTTGGTATTATCAGCACCATGCTCTAACCAACTGAGCTACCCAGACTTGGAATTCCCCAATACAGCCTTGTGCCTTCATAGCAATTCCAGGCACTCTAATGATAGGTCAGATAGATCCATGCAACCAGACCGCAAATCCAATATTTATTTAGCACTGTTTAGCATTATTACTCATTAAATCATTGTGTAATATTGCCATGATTATAGAATGGCAGGCTTGAGAAAAGCACTGCAGCATTTATAATATTCCATGTATTTATTTTCTTCATTTCAAAAGCTCTGTGTTGGTTCCATTGGGTTCCCAGTGGCTACTGGTTGTCCGCACTCGCTTCCCTTCAACAATGCAAATTACATTAAGAGCTAGTGCAGCATAATGCTAATACAAAGAGCCTGAGCTGCAGACCTGGAAGTCTTCTTCCAAAACGTGCCTCTGACATAATATGATTTTGTTATTTCTTAAGGCCATTGGAGAAAGCAAGGTGCTGCCCAGTGTAAAGCGGAATGAACAATGACAGTGCCAGCATGTTGTTTAAATAAATGGAAGGAAGGAAGGAGGAGGTAAGGAAAGGCAACGGAGGAGGCTTATTTGGGAATAAGCCCTACTGAACACAGTGGGAGTTACCTCCAAGAAAACATGCATACCAATTGCATTGCATATTAAAATCTCAGCAGGCCAGGGAAAACAGAGATGTTTTAAGGCGACACTTAAAGAAGTGTGTGGACTGAATGCTGTCACTAATATGAGAAAAATGGTACAGCCTTGCCAGGTTATTGGAAAGAATTATTGAAATCTGCCTGCAAAATGTTTTGCACGGAGAACTCTAGAAGCACCATATAAATACGGCCTGTCACGTGCTTCCCAGTCTATTCCCTGCATAACAGATCATACGGGACTGGAATATGCGCCAGAGTGTGGGAGGAGGATTCAGTCTAAATGCGTTGCAGTTATAGCTGTAGTATTGATCACTGAAATGGGGGTGGAGAAGGGGGGGGGGAGAGACGCTGCCGGAGACAAACATAAAAACACCACCACCTACTCTGCGCTCCTCTCGCCCCCTCGCGAAGAAGGGCAGCCAGATCTGCGCCCATGGAGAGCAGCAGAGGCCCGGCGGCGGCTTTCCTTCGCGCCTTTCCCGCGCCCCTCCTTGCTCCGGCTGCTGCAACAGCCTGCTCGTGCGCTCCCAGAAGGCGCTGGGAGAGGAAAGGAGCCGGGTCCTCTCCCGGGCATATCATCCCAGTCAGAAAACTGAGCAATGGTGGGGTCACAAAACCCTCCGAGCCTGATTTGTTTGTTTATGGGGTGGGTAAGAGGGCCGCGAATAACCTCGCCTCGAGGGGTGGCCGGGCAGGGCGGGAAAACGCGCTCCCTGAGGAGCCAGCCGTGTTATGCAGAAAAATAATAATCTGTAATTCCAAAGAGAAACCTGCCGAGATGATGAGGGGAGTCAAATTAGTATGAATAATGCAAAGCCCCTCACTGGATGGGGGGGGGAGGAGAGGAGGGGGCCGGAGTCGTTGCTAGGCTGTCCGGTGGCTCCGAGCAGAGGTCTCGCCCTCGGCACGAGGAGCCTCAGGTCACCTTTCAAGATTGAAATAAAGCAGGTCTCTCGTGAAAGGCCTCCCTCGCAGCTTAACTTTCCTTCAACTCTCCGCCCCTCCAGCGCCCTTGGTGCCTCGAGCCGGAGGGCAGCCCGGTCCCGCGCGGCTCTATTTCTCCCGCCTCAGCCCGCCTGCTGTGCCCCGCGCCCCACGAGCTGCGTTGGGGCGCCCCACTGCGCCGACCCCCTCCGGCTCTCACGAGCGCGGCTTCGAAGCCCTCTTGCCCCCGTCCATTCCGCCTTCGCCAACCAACGCACGCAGCGGCAGCAACCGGTATCTTTGCGCCGGTGCCAGTCATCCAAACGGCCTCCCGAGAGTGCGAGCGCGGGCAAAACGAGCCGCACGCTTTGCTTTCCAAGGAGAGCAGCCGAGGCACGAATGCCCTCGCCCCACAGGGGACTTCAGCCCCTTAGCAAGAACAGCAGCGTGTCCCTCAGCACTCCAGAAACGTCCCCTTTCCACTGACCCCCACTCCCCTGCGCAGTCCCAGGAAAGAGCCCTGTTTTCTCGCCCGCTGTCCCTCCACACGCGCGCGCACAACTCAGCGCGCCTCCCTGCCCGCCTCATGCGTGGCACTCGCGAAGTTTGGCGCTCTTGCCTGGTCCCCCACCCCCCACGCCGTCCTTCCTTCCTTCCCTCCCTCCTTGCCTGCCTCCCTCCCTCCGCGCTAGTTACTGTTGCCGCGCTTCTGCTGCCGCTGCTGCCAGCGACAGGACAAAGGCACATTAACACGTGATGGCAACTGAGCTTCATAAATGGGACCAGGAGGGAAAGAAGGGGTGTGCGGCGAGGCAAGCTGTTGAGGAGGGGAGACGTCGGGCAACAAGCCGCAGCAGCCGAGGAGGAGGAAGAGGAGGACGGGGCTTCGGGGAGGGCGCTGGGCACAGTTCCTTTTCCTCTCAGAGCTCCAGGAGCAGCGCAGAAGAGAAGCACATGGCGAGCGGCGCGGAAGACCGAGGCCGGCGCCAGACCTGAGGGGCCGAGAGGAACGCGGAGCTGCTCCCCTCTCCTCTCCCTTTCCTCCTACCTTCGCGCCGCCTTCTCTTCCCCCACCCCTCCCCGTCCAGCCCTCCGCTCCCCTCCCCTCAGTCAGTGCCGCCGGGCGGTAAAGCTCGCCCCGCTCGCTGCCCGCCGAGGGTCAGCCTTGGAGCAGCAGCGCGCCTCCACCGCGAAGGGAGCGCGAGGCGCGAAGACCCAGCGCGCGCTCTCCGGACCACCCCTGCCGCGCCGCCTCCCCTCAGCCGAGGGAGCTGCGAGAGACGGGGCCATGTGAACGTGGGGAAAGGTAAGGACGTGGGGGGGGGGCAGCTGCTCTTTGGGCAAGGAGACCCGGGCGGGCAATGGCTATAGGTCAGCCAGGGGGAGCCGGGGGCGCCGTGTTGCTGCCCGCTTTACTCGCGCGCGCAGGGCTGGATGGAGAACCCCGCCTGGAACTCAGCCCCGTCCGCCCAGGATAGTTGCGCGCGGAGTCGCGCGGTGCTCCGAATTTCAGGGGCGAACTCCTTGGAAGGCGAGGACCTTGCTGGACTCGCCTCAAGGTGTTCCTCTGGGTAGACGCAAGCCCTTGAGAGTTCAGTCCTCAGAGCAAAATCTCCACTGATTCCTCTGTCCGGACTGCACCTTTGGATCCCGGTCATCAGCAGACGAATCGGTGGAAGTTGCTGCCAAGTAGCGTTCTCCGAAATGCCAGTTAATGCGTGATCTGTTTCCCCAGGGGATAGATTTTTTGGAAAGCTTTACTTTAGGAAGATCAAGTAGTTTATGTGTCACACATAGGTAGCTCACTCGTGTGTGTGTGTGTGTGTGTGTGTGTGTGTGTGTCAGAGAGAGAAAGAGTGAGCGCGAGAGAGCGCGCATATGTTTATATACATATATCCCACCCAACCGCTTTCTAATTATTGTTTGTATAGTATCTGTATTGTTGTAACTATGAATCTTTTGAGAGCCGCCTACAGCAATTCAGGTATGGTACCAGATGCATAAATGCTCTTCACTCTCAAACTGGGCAATTTTCCTACATAGGATCAGTGTAGGCATCTGTTTAAAAAATGGTCTGAAACGGAAAATCATAACAATTCATTGGGGCTTGTATGAAATCCACAGCACCTGATGAACCAGGAAAGTTTTTATTTATGTATTTGTGGCCCCAGAATATAAATGTCCACTCTAATGTCCTTTGTTAGGGAAAGAAAATAACCAGTCTGGAATTATACAGGAGCATAAAAAGGCAGAAGGTGACCTCAATTAACAGTCATTGAATGAATTAGTGCTTTAAAGGAGAGTCATTTGTGGACACTGAGCCTGAGACCTCAGCCTAGACTTTGTTGCGCTTCACCCATTTGAGGTTAAAACTGCAAAGCGGTGTTCAGGTGGCTTCGCTAGATTTTGGCGTGTCTTATTTGTCGTTCCATTGTGTGATAGCACCATTGCTGGATACAAGAGCCATAATCAAAACCAATGGATTCTTAAAAGCAACCAGAAATTTGCAGATGCTGTGTTGTGTTAATAAAGGTCCTTTGTGTTAATAAAGGTCCTTGGTGCACTGCTCTCTTATTTCCTTCGTGTTACAGGTATAATTGATCTGATCCAGAAGAGATCAGGGCAGAGTGACTATGTAATGAGGCAAGATTGAGTGAATGGAAAATATATTTTCTCCAGGTTCATTTCTTCTGTTAATGGATGTGATCTTAACGGGGATGGGGGGGCACAGGGGGGGTGGAGGGATGTGAGATCTGACAAGAGGCAGCTTTGTAGAAGCTAAAGACTGGTAGTTTTATGGCTAATATGCATTCATTCTTCTCCATACAGAACCTTTCAGAGCAGTCAACCTCTAGGTTCCCATAGGACTTTGTCTGACATAGAGGGTTTCGTCTTTAATCCTAACCCTTTGGTGATTAATAATGGAAGACATTCTTATTGATTTTTCCTGTATTATCTCTTCTCTCGCCTCTCCCCTTCCCTCCCGCCCCAACTCCCAACAGTTAAGGTTCTAAACAGCAGGAAAAGGCAACTATAGGGTTTTTGTTTTTTTGTACATTGGTGGTTATCCTGGATGCAGAGATGCTCAGTGAGGTATAAACAAAACACTGAGCATCCAATAGCCTCTAAATATTTGATGATTCCTCCCCACCATCCAGTCTAGTAGAATTATCTACAGCAAGTAAGAAATGGTTAAATCTTTGGTGTTAAGCATCAGGTATTTTGACAAACAAACTCTTCTTTGGGTGGGCTTCTATCAAAAGTACAAGCTACAGTGAAAAGCTTCCAGGGCGAGGTATGTCTGAAGCCTTGGATGAAATGGTGATTTCTGACATCACTTTACTAATATATATATTTAACTATATAACAATATTAGATGATAACTGCCATTATCTTGCTTTGAAGAATGCTATGAATTTTACTTTTAAGGAAAAAATATGCCTTCAGCATGCAATATGGCTTGGTTGCCTATTGTGTGGTTACTTTGAAACCATCTAGGAAAATACATTCAATTAATCAGATTTTTTTGGGGGGATCTCTTTGGAGGTTTATTTGTACATGCTAAGCAATAATGATGCAAAGTTTTATTTGTATTATGATGATTCTGATTTAAAAGGCTTAAATATGGTGGTGGGTCGTTCTCACTCTTCCTGTATGTTCCTCCAGTGTTATTGTTCTTCCTTGCCTTAAAGAACAAGCACCTCTCTGTCTGCTGGTATTATTGCTGTTGTTGTTTGGCATAAATAACCCAGCCAGAGCAGCATTTTTAAAAAATGCATTTTAAGTAATAAGATGGTTAACACTGCAGCAATTAGCGGAGCTTATTTTTACACAGACTGCACATAATAGAAATTACAGAGATGTTGCCTCTTCTACTCAGTAAGAAGAAGAAGAAGAAATAGCAGTCATTATGGTGATAGGTCATGTTATGCAGCAAGTGTAAATTTACAATAAGAGAGAAAGCAGGAGTGTCTAATTAGTTTAAGCCAAATATGCACATGTAAAATTGCATTAACTCAAAATTGGCTTTGCAGCAAAAACACACACAGAGTCACCTTTTAGAATATATTGGGATGAAGTATAGAACTTACCTGAATAAAATGATCTTGAGCTGAATTTATAAAACCAATAATTTAATTTCAAAACTAATGAGCACTGAAAAAGAGAGACGTCTTCAAGGAATGTAAGATATGTTTTCTATTAATATACATCATCAGCCTCCTGTAACACCTCAAATTGGAAAGTAATGGAAAAATAACAAACCTGGAAAAAATCCAAGATCATGAGTAATATCCAACATTAATCATACTCAGTTTATACCTATGGAATCAAGGAATTTAAGTGCATTAATTGATTTCAGTGGGCCTACTCTTGAGTATGACCAATGTTGGATGTCACCTGCACTCCTAAACATGTTTACTTGGGAATAAATTCCATTTCAAATAAAAATGCAGCGTATTGCACTGCAAGAGTGTGATGTCTTTGACTTTATTAGCTGTTCTTTAAATAATTACATTGGTTCCATTGCATAAAGGACATCCTTACAAGTTGTGTTTTTTTTATGCTTTGCTAAACGGATGATGTGTCCTGGGCAAACTTTGCCGTTGTGATTCTGAATTCAAATTTCTAATTGAATTCTTCCTACTTTCATATATAAACATACTGTAGTTTTGATTAAGAAAGCTCAGAGACTGAGATCGAATAGAAATTTTCAGTGCTGCTTTCATAACTGAAACTTTGAGTACTAGTCTCTGTTTGTGACTGAAGCAGTTTAGTCAAGAGATTAAAATGAAGCAAAATCCTAGACAGCATATAAAACAGCATATCATACATAGATACGGTCTAAAGGCTGTCACCCTTTCTGAAGTGAAGCAGGTCTGGATCTGGTCAGTGCCTGGATGGGAAACCTGGTTCACTGATGAAAGAAAGGGGTGATATAAATGAATTCTAAAAAAATAAAAATAAAATAGCTAAGAATTTTAGAGTTAACCCCCCCTTCAACTGTACAATTCTATTTCATCCACTCACTCCCACACATCTCACTAATTTCTTATGGGGAAAGGTGGTGTTTTTTTTATAATACCCTAAAAGATTCATGTCCTTTTCAAAGCAACTGATTCTATGAATTTTCTCCACCAAATCAATCATACTTCAAAGCATCTTCAGAATTCATTTTTGTCTTTTGTTAAGGTGTGAGTCTTTTCCCGACTCTCCTTTGTTCGTGGCTATATTATTAGTTTTAAAAAACGTTCACTTTCAGAAGGATGCCATTTGGAGCAATTCCTCCATATTTCAGAGTTGCATTCCCCCCCCCCAAAGCCATCCCAAAATAATTCCTATGTATTCATTGTGAAAAGTTGAATATTTTACCTTTTTTGAAACTCAGGCATTGTACGGTCAACTGCTGCCAACAATCCTAACACTGGGACTTGTCCAGGATTAAAGCAACTGTACCAATGGACACAGAAGACAGAGAGAAATGGGCCCTTAATTGCAACAATGCTGCTCTTGTTTTCTTACTTGTAGGGGACTAAACATCTAGTTCAGAGCAGTTTTGCAAACGTGCCAAAACAGGCCTAAAATGATATTATGTTAATAAATTTGAATAGAAGCTGTGATAAAATTTAAGCTGTTCTGTTCTTATACTGCTGGCACATTTGATGTTAGAACTAAGAGTTTGCTAAGGCTGTAGTCCTATACTCACCTGGGAATAACCTTCACTGGACTCAATGCAACTCATAGCTGAGTAGACGTAGTTAGGCTTGTACTGTAAGGCTCCAGTCCTATAATGACTTACCTGGGAGTAAGCTCAAGTGAACTCGGGGGACTTGCTTCTAAGTACACAAGAACAGAATTGCTCTCTCAGTGTGCATTTGGGGTTATAGTTCTGTGTATATAGTTGTGTTTCAAAGAACGCTTGATCTCAATAGGATAAAATATGTGAAGTGATATTGTTACTGAAATCCAAAAGCTAAACACATCTATTTGCATGGAATTATTTGGGAATCAAGTCTATGGAACTGATTACAAGTCTAGGTTTGTAATCTGGAAGAACATTTTGTAAACTTTTTTCTTGAATTAAAAGAATACAGTTACAAATTGTAGCATAGCCTTCTGTTTCTTTCTATGTAATAAAAGTAGCCTTTATTTTGCTACATTCCCAAATGGACCAGGTCCATGTTTTTCTAGTATGTTACCCTATGGCAGGCCAACCAGATATAGTAGAGATCCAGACATCTCTACCTTTATTGATTATGTAGGAAACTTCAAATGTGCATCACCTACCTAAATCCCCCTTCTTACGCA